GTGATCTTAGTGAACATGCTCTATTTCCATTTTATCTCCTGCGGTAGAGGCTCAGAGAGGAGAAGAACATGTCCAAGGTCACACAGCTAGTGAGGGGCAGGACTAGGATTAAGCCTGAAATCCACCCACTCTGTCATGTGTATGGTATTTGTAGGAGGTTTCTGGTTTGAGACTTAAACCATCAGAGTGTGACTCCTAAAAGATGGTAGCAAGGGTGTTCTTGGGTGTCTGTGATGTATGTTATCACTCCCCCAAACTTCAGCGTCAGATGGTCACTGTTCTGGCAGGCTTTCTCTCCGGATCAAGAAGTAGGAGGGAATAAAGCTAGACTAGTCTCCACTGTGCACTCTGCCTGCTGTGTCACTGTTGCCTTATTAGTATGTGCTGAATGAATGAATGAATGTATGAATGAATGGCTCTAATGCCATTCACCACCAAGGTTTAAGTTTGCCGTGAAAACTGAAGCAGAACATGTGGTTTCTGTTACCCAATATTCAGGAGATTTTTTTTTTTCTGTAAATGACACTACTTTTGCATGTTACTAGAGAATTATAAGTTCTCATTGTTCAAATTATTGTTCTCAATAATTATTGTGGTGACACAGGGAGAGAAACAGAGCTGCCCCCTCTTATGAAACTGAGCCAGTGTGAGCCAGGAAGGAGCATCAGCGGGTATTGTGGTGAAACAGGTGGCAGCGGACTGCTGATAGCTCTGTTTGCCAAGACAAACACTATCCCAGGGCATGGCTTTAACGATCTCTGCATAGTCTTGCTGAGAAATTGTGTAGAAGCATTTGTACATTGGCTCACTCAGTTTCATCCTGAAGGTGAGCCGTTCTGACATAGGCTGACTTCTGAGGCATTTTGAGTTTCTGGGGCCATGGCATCTATTTATAAGCTGGCCTCCAAATACAAAGGAACAGAAGCCCTGTGCCACCTCTTGCTCCAAGCCACATCCTGGGGCAGCGCCCTCCTCGTGTGCATCCTGTCTTTCCAGTTGTACCCAGATGTGAGGTTAGAGAAATTTTTTTTTTTTTTTTTTTGAGACGGAGTCTCGCTCTGTAGCCCAGGCTGGAGTGCAGTGGCCGGATCTCAGCTCACTGCAAGCTCCGCCTCCCGGGTTCACGCCATTCTCCGGCCTCAGCCTCCCGAGTAGCTGGGACTACAGGCGCCCGCCACCTCGCCCAGCTAGTTTTTGTATTTCTTAGTAGAGACGGGGTTTCACCGTGTTAGCCAGGATGGTCTCGATCTCCTGACCTCGTGATCCGCCCATCTCGGCCTCCCAAAGTGCTGGGATTACAGGCTTGAGCCACCGCGCCCGGCCGAGGTTAGAGAAATTTGTGGTAGTCGACCATCATTCACTTTCTAATCGTCTATTCATTAAATATTTCTCCTTTTTAAAAATCTCTCTTATAATAAATAGTCATCAATTTCTTGCCAAGTGCCAGACACTCTGGGAGAAGTAAAAATGAGAAAGTGATTCTTCACAGTGAAGAAGCCCCACTCATGGGACACAGTGTCTTTGTCTCTAGGGCCAATTGTCTTGAGATTTACTGGCAAAAGAGGGGCCTTTACCACTCAGCAATGCAAATAACTTCATATTGAATATTAGACATCACCATCCTTAAGTCTATCTCTTTTTTTTTTTTTTTTTTTTTTTAAACAGAGTCTTGCTCTGTCACCCAGGCTGGAGTGCCATGGCACAGTCTCGGCTCACTGCAAACTCTGCCTCTTGGGTTTAAGAGATTCTCCAGCTTCCTGAATAGCTAGGACTGCAGGTGTGCATCACTATGCCTGGCTAATTTATTTTTATTTACATTTTTGACATCTATAAATATTTTTCATTTTTTTAAATGTTTCCCCATAGGTTATGGGGGTACAGGTGGTGTTTGGTTACATAAGTTCTTAAGTGATGTGAGATTTTGGTGCACCTATCACCTGAGCAGTATACACTGAACCTTTTTTGTAATCTTTTATCCCTTGCACCCCTCACACTCCTCCTCCCAAGTTTCCAAAGTCCATTGTACCATTCTTATGCCTTTGCGTACTCCTAGCTTAGCTCCCACATATCAGTGAGAACATATGATGCTTGGTTTTCCATTCCTGAGTCACTTCACTTAGAATAACAGTCTCCAATTTCATCCAGGTTGCTGCGAATGCCATTAATTCATTCCTTTTTATGGCTGAGTAGTATTCCATTGTATATATATACTACAGTTTCTTTATCCACTCATCAATTGATGGGCATTGGGTTGGTTCCACGATTTTGCAATTGCTGCTACACACATGCGTGTGCAAGTATCTTTTTCATATAGTGATTTCTTTTCCTCTGGGTGGATACCCAGTACTGGGATTGCTGGATCCAATGGTAGTTCTACTTTCAGTTCTTTAAGGAATCTCCACACTGTTTTCCATAGTGGTTGTACTAGTTTACATTCTCACCAGCAGTGTAGAAGTGTTCCCTGCTCACCGCGTCCATGCCAACATCTACTGTTTTTTGATTTTGTGATTATGGCCATTCTTGCAGGAGCAAGGTGATATCACATTTTGGTTTTGATTTGCATTTCCCTGATCATTAGTGATGTTGAGCTTTTTAAAATATGTTTCTTGGCCATTTGTAAATCTTCTTTTGGGAATTGTCTATTCATGTTCTTAGCCCACTTTTCAATGGGATTATTTTTTGTATTTTTAGTAGAAGTAGGGTTCACCATGTTGGCCAGGCTGGTCTCGAACTCTTGACTTCAAGTGATCTGCCTGTCTCGGCCTTCTAAAGTGCTGGGATTACAGATGTGAGCCACTGCACCCAGCCACCATCCTTAATTCTTTCCACTCTGACGCCTTCCTTGTGTTTTGGGCATCTTCTTTCCCTCACAGGGAAAGACTTTTCTCTCTGCCTCCTGATGACTCAGGGAATATCTTCATGGCCAAAGATTCATTCATGCAACCTCCTTGAACAGCAAACAGTTACCTTAGGTGCGATTCCCTGCCCTTCCTGTCTTTTATAAGGGAAAGGAGTTAATGGGTATTAAGATTTAATTTATCCATGGATTTAAGTTATATCACACAATTTCTCCTCCCCTCCCACTCCTGCCCTGACCCAGAAGTAATTTCTGAGTAACTACAATCAGTTTTGGTTTTAAGTCACATATATTTGCATTATATGCAGCTATACTTAACAGTTTGTGCATGTTGTTTCTTGTCTTACATCATAAGCTCATCTAGGCAAGGGCTGTACCTCATTTAGATGCCTTTTGTTCTCTCTTAGTTCCAAGCATGATGCTAAGTGAGTAGAACAAAGCTTTAGAAATATTTTTGCTAGATTGAAACAGGGTTTGCATTGGGGTTGAATAAAGGGGTCATTTCCTTTATGCAACAGAGCAGAGCATGCAGGACAGGAACTAAAAACAGCCTTCCACTCTGCTTGTTGAAGAAACTGATGAATGAAGCTGCAATAAACAAGTGGGTGACATGGCCAGGTTATACCCCAACCAGCAGTAGTAAGGCCGGAGGCAACTGGGCAGCGCTGTTCCCCTTCATAGTTTTGAAATTCAAATTCCAGAACAAAACAAAATATTGTACTGGCCTAAGAAACCCAGAACCCCATCCTCAGAAGCCAATGGATGAGGGAAGTTTTCTCTTCCTTGGAATGAACAATAATATTAGCAAACCCTTTGCTATAGTTTGGCTGTTTGTCCCCTCCAAAACTCATATTGAAATTTGATCCACAATGTTGGAGGTGGGGCCTAATGGGAGGTATTTGATCAGGGGGTAGGTCACTCACAAACGACTTGGTGCCATGCATGTGGTAACGAGTTATTACTGTATTAGTTCCTGTCAAAGCTGATCGTTCAAAAGAGCCTGGCATCTTTCCTCTCTCTCTTGCTTCCTCTCATGTGATCTCTGCACACATGGGCTCCCTTTTTCCTTCTGCCATGAGTGGGAACAGCCTGAGGCCCTCACCAAAAGCAGATGCACGTGCCATGCTTCTTGTACAGCCTTCAGAACTGTGAGCCAAATAGACCTCTTTCCTTTATAAATCACCCAGCCTCAGGTATTCCTTTATAGCAACACAGATGGACCAAGACATCCTTAGGATAACACTTTCTATGCTGCAAATGCTGTCCTCAACATTTGACTTGTACTAACTCATTTGATCCTCATCAACTCTATGAAAGTCAGTTATTTACTCCTTTTCATTTCCTTTAAAACTGTTTATTTGCTTGCTCTGTGAGGATTGAAACATTTTTCAGAATAATGAAAGAAAGAAGAAATTAGCTTTTTGGAGATAAGCATGTGTTTCCAACTTGCGACCCCAGGGTTGGCTACATAATTTGTGGGTCCCAGTGCAAGATAAAAATGTGAGGTTCCTTGCTCAAAAAGCAAAAATATGTGTGTGTGTATATATATATATATCATTAGAGAAACTAAAATAGAAAGCATTTTCCTATCTTCCCTGGTGTCTTTCTCTCTCAGTTTATCTTGTATATTTTATATATTATTTAATGTTGTAAGTAAAGAAAAATTAAAAACTTATTAACATGAATTTCAGCATTCGTCTTTATGTTATACAATGCCATTTTTAAACGTAAACATGAGTGCATTAAACTTGTTTATGCAACCACAGAATTTTGTAGTTTGCATGTGCCTATGCATTTTATTCTTACCAGGACACTGTTTGAAATGCTGCCAAAAACAAGCGAATCTGTTTTCCTTTCACTTCTTGATATGTGCACATTTCATCAGCACTCTTTGCCTTCCTCTTGAGGGGAGTAGGGAGGACTGAAAGGAATACAAGCTCTGGGACCCTTCTCTCCCCTTTCCTTCTAAGCATCATCTTTAGTGGGTGTGGTTGGCCAATGCAGGGAAGCAGCACCAGTAAGGAAGGATGTGATGGGGCATCTTGCCATGGTGTGGGTTAGAATACCATTGCCTTCTTTCTGTGTTTGAAGCAAGTCTCCCAGTTTGAATAGAAATTTCGGGCTCTGGCCAGAACACACTTACCTTGGACTCACTTTGAGCTTCTCTGAACTCCCATGCCTGTGGGTCCCCAGAACTCCACGTTCACGGAGGATGGTGAACACTCTGTGTAACTGGCAGCGAGGAAAGGTGGACACGCCTTGTACTTCCCTCCTCAGCTCACAGACATGCTTCAGCGTAGGGCTTTACTTGCAAAACACAAGTTCAAAGATAAAATTGTTGAGAATTTCAAGATGGCCACAACAGGAAACCAAGTTCAGGGCCCCTCTGAGCTCTGGACCCTGTACAACTGCCCAGGTCATTTACCTATGCAGCTGGCCCTGCCTGGCCATAGGAAGTACTCAATAAATACTTGGTTAATGAATAAACAAATGTTACTTCTTAATCACAGGCCTCATTAACCAAAGCTCAAGCTACTAATTGTAGACAACACAGATATATTAATCCCTCAGATAATTTTGTTCAAAAAAGCTCCTGAGTCAAGAGTTTTAATCTTTTCTTATCTTTTTTTTTTTTTTTTTGAGACATAGTTTCACTCTGTTGCTCAGGCTGGAGAGCAGTGGCACGATCTCGGCTGGCTGCAACCTCCACCTCTTGGGTTCAAGTGATTCTAGTGCCTCAGCCTCCCCAGTAGCTGAGATTACAGGTGCACACCACCACATCCGGCTAATTTTTGTATTCTTAGTAGAGACAGGGCTTCACTATGTTGGGCAGGGTGGTCTCGAACTCCTGACTTCAAGTGATCCGCCTGCCTCAGCCTCCTAAAGTGCTGGGATAACAGGTGTGAGCCATCGAGCCTGGCCTAATCTTCTTTTCTTATATGAGATTGGTTAATCATCTGCAATTCTGAGTAGATTTGAGTTTCATCAATTCCATTTTTTGCTAGAGAGAAGGAGATGGGAAGTGATGAGACATGAAGAATTCATGTTCAGAGGAAGCAGGGCCCTGCAAGGGGAATATTGATTCTTGTTGCATACGAAATTTGATATATCAATAACCAGTAAGGTTCAGAAGAGCTTGTACGAACAAATATGCTGAGGAAACACTACTTCAAAAGTTTGAGGGTCTGGTGGGCTGTATCTGCGTGCCCTGGGCTTTCCTAGGGGGATCTAGTACTAATGCCAAGGGGACTGAATGCCATTTACAGGGGCTGAAATGCAGTTCTCTCAAAAAAGGTAAGTGGGGAAGAAATCAAGTAACAGATGCCTGGAGTCCTAATTCTATTTCATCCCTCTACTAAATGAAGTGCATTGTTGATTAAGAAAAGCAGATTTGCACTGCATTTATTCATTCAACCAGCATTTGTCATCTGCCTACTGTATGCTAGGCACTGCGTTAGGTGCTGGGGCTTTGAAGCAAAATTCAGCCAAGTCCTTGTTGTCCAGAAGCCCTCAGTATATCCCGAGATGAGAACTGAAATGATGATAGGGTCGGGATGAGAGAGGTGTGTATCCCTGCCATCTCCTAGTGCCTTTGGTAAAATGACCACAGACATCCAGAGCATTTGGATGTTGAAGGAAGTCATTTTACCCTACAGAGGTTGGTGAAGCTGCGATTGTCATGGCAACAGATTAAATGGAGCTGGAACTCGGGTGTGAGTGCCCCAGCTGTGAGCACTGCCTCCTCCTCCTCTGCCTAAGTTCTAACCTGACTGATTCTCGCTTACTGCAGAAACCATTTTCCTGGATGTGGGATGTGCCTGGCGAGGGGCTACTGGGAAGGGGAGAGGGTAGTAGAGACACTACAGGTTCAGATAGAATAATAAGCTGAAAGCCTGACATTTACTGGACTCCCCTGCCCCAAGGTGCCAGACTCTGTGCTATGCTTGTGGCCTTATCTCATCTGATCCTCACAGTAACTGCATGGTTGGGCGTCCTTTTTCCTCCACTATACAGATGAGGAAACTGAGGCCTAGATAGGCTACAGATAGATTGTCCTGTCAGATCCCAAAGCCAGAACTTTTAATGGCAGATTACAGTGGCTCTGAAACGCAGGTCCAGTGTATGTAGGAGGTGCAGCGGGTGGAATGGCTAAAATGCAGATTCTTAAGCCCAGCTGTGGACCTACTAATCACATTGTCTGGGGGTGAGGTCCAGGAATCAGAACACAAAGAGGTCCTGGAGGGTTCCTGGTCTAAGTGAGGACTAGAGGGCGGGAGCCACTTGTCCCAGGTTCCAGGGCGAACCAGTTAGGATTAGGATCCAGGCCTTCTATGCCAGCTCAGTGGGCTCCGAGCAGGTGCTGTGGGGTTTTCTCAGGGAACCAGAACAGGATATGGTGGGTCCAACCACTGAAAGTTGTCCTTCATTTATGATCCCAGGGCTCTATCGAACTGGTGCTCCAATCAAGAAAAAGAAAAGAGAAAATCCCTAAAAGGTGCTTGTCATATTTTCCTTCCAGCATTTGTCGGCAAGACCAACCCACTTCCCAGCCTAGTCACCAGGGCAACCATCACCCCCACCTTGACAGGCAAGTGCAAATGCAGCTTCTGGCACCCACATCCAGAGCCACGGGACCCAGCCCTATAATCAGTCTCCCGCTGCCTCTGCAGGCAGCCAGCAGCGACAGTCATACACACTCCCTGCGCTCCGAGCCCATCACCCCCTCACGGTTCTACAGGCACCCCCTCCCCACGCTCACACAGCGCATTCTGCTTCCCTCGCCCACTGCCTCCCAGGAGACAAATGTGCAATCTGCTCTCGGCGCGTATCATCACCTCTGGAGGGAGGAATCTGCCCTCGAGTCGAGGCGCAGCCCAACACACACAGCCCACACAGGAGAATACAACACCCCTTCCCGGAGAAGGGGAGTGGTGGCAGCGAACGCCCTCTCCCCCTTCAGAGACAGCTGAGGGGGCGGCCGAGTTTAGGAAGTTTGCAAAGTGAGGAGCACATGAGCGGCTGAGGCGGCTGATGGGGAGGCTAGCGGGGCGGGGAGGGGTAGGGGGTGGGAGTCGGGGAAGCTGGGCGGCCACAGCCTGTTGCTAATGAAGCAGCTCGGCTGCCAGGCGAGATCAGAGCCTCTTCCCTGGCTGCAGACACCTGGAGTCCCACTCGGCAGGAAATGAAGCTGGGCTCCCTCTTCAAGGTCCCTGCTAGAGCAGTTTCACGAGACCAGGCTGCCGGGGACATGGACCCTCTGTCAGGACTTCAAACAAACAAAGCCAGCTCCTTGGGTCCAGGCTGCCTACCCAAGTGCCGGCCCGCTCTACTGTGCTCACCTGAGCTCCCTCCTCAACTGCTGGAGCCCACCTGTGCTTCTGACCAGCTTTATCATGGCTTCTGTTCCAGATGCCTCTGCTGTTCCCCTCACTGACTCCTTTCCCCCATCTCACCTGTGTTGGACACATCCTGGGCATCTCAGAGTCTCTGGGTTTCCCCTGTCTCCTAGGCTCAGAGTCATTTGCCCAGACTACAGGGATCAGGGCTGCTGTCTTCCTGACCCTCCTTCCTCAGGTCCCTGCAGCCTGAGGCTGACCCCTTCAGGCTCCTCCATCTACTTCCTGGCTGGAGGCAGCCCTCCTCCTGAGGGGTTGAGCCCCAGAGCCTGCTGAGCCAGGTGAGACAATTCCAGTGCAAGGGAGTTAATCGCTGAGAAGCCAACTCTGACCAACGAGAGGTGGCAGGAAGCCTGACAGGCCTCCTTCTCATGAGCATTTCCCAGGCCTGCCTCGAGATGTCCTGTGTGGCCAGACATCTGGCAGTGCCTATTGGTAAACTGAGGCCTGGTGGGCAGCACAGTGCCCTGTATTTGCTTCCCTTCCTGCCCCATCTCGCTGCACTCTCCCTCACTCCAGCTGCCCTGGGATTGTACCCCCACTCTCCCCCTGCCTCCCCCAGCGCCAGAAAGCATTAACACCTAAGCTTCACCGCAGACTGTTTTCTAGGTAACCCAGCTACGTTGGCAGTCAGATTTAAATAAAACATAATTCTTGCTCTGTCTTATCTAGCCTAATTCCCTTATTTGACAGAGGGAGCTGAGTCTCAGAGAAGTTAAGTGGAGGAGCTATGTCTATTCATTACTGTAACAAATAGTTAACAAGCATCCGTTATGTGCCAGGCGTGATTCTGGCAATGCAGTGGTGAATAAAATGGACAAAAAATCCCTGCCTTTATGGAACACAGCATTCTATTGGAGGAGAAAAAGACCATAGACAAGGTGAGTAAGTAAAATATTCAGAATGGTAGAGTGATCATTGCTGGTGGTGGCGATGGTGGGTGTCATGGGCTGAATTGTGTCCCTCTCATAATTCATGTGTTGAGGCTCTAACCCTTAGTACCCCAGATTGTGACTATATTTGGAGATAGAGCCTTTAAAGAGGTAATTAAGTTAAAATGGGCCCTAGTCGATTAGGACTGTGTCTTCATAAGAAATTTGGACACAAAACCAGGGAGGTCTACACCCAGAGAAAAGGCCATGTGAGGCCCTGGCAGGAAGGCAGCCACAGGAGGCGAGCCATCCTGCAGATGCCTTCGTCTGGGACTTCCAGCTTTCAGAACTGTGAGAAAATACATTTCTGTTGTTTAAGCCACCTAGTAAGTGGTATTTTGTTATGGCAGCCCTAGCAAACTAATACACCAGGATTTTAATTTCTTGAAAGACATCCCAAGTTGGCCTCATCGAGAAGATGACATTTGAGTAAAACCCTAAAGTGGGTGATGGAATGAGTTATTTGAAAATCCAAGGGAAAAGCATTCCAGGCAGAGGGACTAGCAGGCTCAATGGCTCTGATCTGGATCATACCTTAAGTGTTGGAAGAATAGCAAGGCAGCCAGTGTGCATGAAGGAAGCAGAATGGGTGAGGGAGAAATGGGAGGACATGAGATCAGAGGGTGAGGGCATGTGGAAGGACACTCTCCACATGAGATGGAGAGAATTGCAGGGTTTGGGGTAGGAAGGAGGAATTTTGTCTCCAGGGGACATTTGGCAATCTGTAGAAACATTTTTCATCATCACAGTGGTGGGAAAGAGGGTGGAGGAGCAGTATGACACTAAGTGGGTAGAGGATATCTTTCAATGCACAGGACAGCATTTTCCTCCCCTCCCCAGCAATTAGCCCACAGTGTCTGTGGTGTCAAGGTTAAGTAACCCCGGTTTCAAGCTCATGGTGACTAGGTCTGACTTTTGTGTTAATAGGTTCATGTTGGCTACCCTGGTTTCAAGCTCATGGTGACTAGGTCTGA